TTCTGAAAACTCTGGAAAACATTCTGACCCCTCTAATTATTGCTCTTCCAACTATCCTTAACACTAAATTTCATCCTACAAATCTTCTTTCTACTATAAGCAAAGTTTTTGAGTCTTTAATCAATATTTCATTTTGAATCTTATAACTTACTGTCTAACAATCAATACAATTTTTGATCTTCTCGTGCTACAGCTGACTTGCTGCTGTGACTGAAAAATTTTATTGTGCATTAAGTAGAGGCAGCAAGGAAATAGCTATTGCTCTTGACATATCTATAGCTTTTGATAAAGTTTAGCATGCTGATTTTCTCATAAAGTATATAGAGGAAAAATGTTTTCATACTTACTGAATAAAATATATAGAGGAAATTTTTTGAGTTTATTAAATCATTTTTTTCTAAATGTTTTATTAAAAGAATCCTTGAAGGCCAACACTCTTAATTTCCAGTAATTTTTGGGTACCTGAAGGTTCTACCTTGATCCTGTACTAATTTTTATCTAAACTATTGAACTTGCTGAAACCTTACCTATCAAGGCTCTATTTGATGATAACTCAATTTTATATTCTTGTCTTGACAAAAAGCCTTCTTTTCTCAAAACACACACACACATACATATATATATATATATATATATATATATATATATATATATATATATATATATATATATATATATATATATATATATATATATATATATATATATATATATATATTAATCAATCAATCAATAAATATTTTCTGAAATATTTGGTCTTACATACATTTCAAGGTTGTTTACAAATAGTATAAACTACTAACTTCACGTAAACACCTAATGATAACGATTAAAATAGTAATAATAATAAAGATAATATTTATAATAATAATAATAATAATAATAATAAATAATAATAATAACATTTTATTTTAACAATAGTAATAATAATATACTAATTAAAATAATTTAAATAAATCAGTAAAATTTTCCATACAACAATCGTTATTACATACAAAGTTACAGTTACAAACAGTAATTAACTGACAAAACGTAACAACTAACGATTTTTTAGTACAGATTTAGTAAATATATTTTTTCTTATAATAACCGAAACATATTGCAAATAATATGACAAAGCAAATAAATAGAATGCAAAAAAGAAAAATACTGAGAAAATCAAAGCAAAACAAAAGTTACAACAAACATTACAAGCAAAACAAAAATTTACGTTAAGTTCATTTGGCAATAAAAAAAAACAAACATCAACAACTACAAGAAAAGAACAACATAAATTAGAAATAATAAAGAAAGAAAAAAAAAAAGTAATAATAATACACGGTAGAATAAAACATTTATAACAAATGCTTAAAACGAAAATAAAAACAAAAAATATATAACACTATAAAAAATTAGATATCACTATTTAAAAATAATTAAATAACTAAAAAATAAAACAATAAATGACTAACAAAAAATAATAAGTAAATTTTTATACGCTAAAAAACTAAAGAAAAATCATTACTACAAGACCGCTTAAATAAAAAATGAAATCGTAAACAATGAATCCTAAAAAAATATGAAAGAAAACTAAAGAAATACATGAAATATAACAAAAGAAATATATGAAAAAATAAAAAAATCTTCATTTTCCGATCTTTTTTCGATGCATTAAGTTTTTTTTTCCTTTTTTTCCATTCTTTTTATTTATTTCATTCATTTTTACTTCTATTTTCTATACTTCTTTATTTATTTTCTTTCAGATGATCTTTTCTTGTTTTAAAATATTTATTTTTAGTTGATTTTATTATTGGCTTAATTTATAGATGTTTTCTTTTCTTTCTTTTTTCCTCTCTAAAAAAGTTGTTTTTATCCGTTTGAAAAAAGCGTCCGCCATTTGCGATGTCATTGCAAAGAATTTCTTTATATATATATATATATATGTATATATATATATATATATATATATATATATATATATATATATATATATATATATATATATATACACATGCTTGCACACACTAATAAAACATATGTCTGGTCAGCTTATAGATTTTTATGCTGAGTAACCACACATGAAATATAATAATTGTAATTATAAAAAAAATTTATAAAATAATATAAAATTCAAAATTTTACAACTTAAAGTTTAAATTAAAAAACAACCTACCAGCCATACTAGGGCCAATTACTAGTCCTACATTGTAGCCTAAGAATGCTACACTCAAACCAGTTGCTAAGTTACTATCATCGCATATATCTGACATAAAAGCTTTGGCAATTATATCAATTCCTAAAAAGGTTCAACATTATTACTTGAGAATATAATATATTTTCAGTGCAAAAAATATTTAACATGTAAACAAGAATTATTTTTTGTTTAACATGTAAACAAGAATGTTTAACATGTAAACAAGAATTATTAAGTATAGGGAAATATAGCGTAAAATTTTATTTTGAAACAAAAATGCATAATGCTAATAAATTTAACTTTAAACACATCTTTAATATTAGTTAAATTGCATCATTAGCATATTTAAAGTACCGAATTAAAAATCATTTAAATAAATATAACAAAAATTACTGAGTTGAAAAAAATTATATTTACTTAAAATAAATCATCTCTTAAAACAATCTTATCTTATCAAAATATTTTGTTTCCTTATCACAACTTTTTTTAAATTAAATTTTTTTAAATCATTTTTAGTTCGAAGCCTTAAAAATAAAAATTAATATAAAATAGTGACAGTTAAGGTTAAATTTTTTCTAAAAATTTTTTGAATAACAGTTATGTCGACTGTTTGTTTTTTTACTTTGTTGTCTACATATTCTTTTATTGTGCTCTATTGTAATTGGTTTTTTTTAAAATATAGAAGGATTGTACTAATTAGTTACATCTATGTTATTCATAAACCTGTATAGTTGCACTATATTGGCTTTCAACCTTCTATTTTTTAATGTCAAAAGATTAATTTTATTTAACCTATTTTCATATTGTAATCCTTTCAAAATGCGGATACGAGTTGCTTTTTGTTGGACTTGTTCGATCATATTGATATTTTTTGTAAATGTGGGTTTTGTATTGGTGATTCTTATTCAAGATGAGGTCAAACTAATGAAGTAAATAGTTATCTTATATTTCTTTTATCTAAATATTTAAAAAAGTATTTTATAAGGCCTAATTTTTGGCATGCCTTATTGACTGTATAGTTAATGTCGAAATTCCAGTTAAGGTCATTTGATACATATATGCCAAGATCATTTTCTAATGTTGTTTTTGTAAGTTTAGTGGCATACATTTTATTTTTGGAATTGTTAGGTACCAGGTACTCATTTTTAGGATTATTTTTTCTGATATGCATAACCTTGCACTTGTCATTATTAAATTCTATCAACTAATTTTTTGTCTATTTTACCATTTTATTCAGATCTTCTTGTAAATTTCCTGTACTGTTGTTATGATCTAGAGTAGATATTAATTTGTATCATCTGCATACAGTTTACATTCATTTTTTTATATTTAACATCATACTTAATGCGGTAGTGGTGTAGTGGTAGAGCGCTCGCTTTATAAAAGAGTGATTCCGAGTTCGATCCCTACCACGTCGCTGGTAGTACCGCGCTCAACTCGCTTCTCCGTGCAGCGGCCCTGTTCGTCCAAGGTTCGTGTTTCGGAGTTATATAGTTGAGAGAGGGCTATAGCCACAAATAAGTAGCCTCCTTGTCTGTAGTGGCCTTCTCGGCCTTAAGGAGGTGAATAAAAAAAAAAAAAAAAAAAAAAATATTATTTATGTATAAAATAAATAATAATGGTCCTAATACTGATCCCTGAGGAACACCACTTATAAAATTTGTTGATTCAGAAATATTTTCTCCAAGTACAACTTGTTGTAACCGATTTTTTAGCTCTGCACCAGTTCATATCCAGCTAATTTTATGCACAATCTTTCATGCAGCACAGTATCGAAAGCTTTAGCAAAATCTAGAAATATAATTTCAACTGAAATATTATTGTCAAATGCTTTACTAACAATATCTAATGTTTCTAGTAAATTTGTACAATAATTTTAAATATTCACAAAACCGTGTTGGTGCATTGAGATTAAATTATGATTTAATATCAGTGCACCAACATGGTGCACTGTGATTGAGAATGATTGATTAAACATTAACTCTAATGGTTTACATAAACTTTGTGAGCATTCCTTCAACACTCTTAAATGTAGTTTATCAATACCTGTTGTTTTATTGTGTTTAATTTTTTTAGTTTTGTTTCAGTTATTAATTTCTCCAATTTTGGATATGGAAAACTTAGAAAGGTTTTTTTTTCAAATAATGGAACATTATTGCTATTTTCAATTATGAATACTGAACTGAAAAATGTGTTTAATGTATTGCATTTTGTTTTACCAATTGTTGTAACATCACCATTTATATCTCTTATGGCTCTAATAGTGTTTTTTATTTTGGTTTTACTGTTTATATAAGAGTATATACATTTAGTATTTGATTTTGATTGTTTTACAAAATTATGTTCATACTCCATAATTGCTTTTTTAATATCTTATTAAGATTGTTGTAATTTATAAAATCATATATATTTTTAAAACCTGCAACTTTGATTTTGTACCATAAGTTTCTTTTAACTTTAATTTTAGGTCTTTTGTCAACCATAATGATTTTGTTTTTCTAATGTTTAATTGTTTGGTTGAATTTGAGGGATAGATATTTTGCAACCTTTTTCATAAATTGTTAACCACCTTAAATAACTTTCATCAACGCTTAAGGTTTTGAACACTTTTTCCCAGTTTTAATTAATAAAGTATTTATTTAACTCTTTATATTTACCTTTGTTAAACAGATATTTTGTTTGATAGTCTTTGTTATTGGTAACTTTATCCATTAAACTATATTCAAAGTACAATACATGGTGGCCATGTTCTAAATTACCAAGGGGTGGTGTATTTTCTAACATTTCTTTTTTTTTTCTCTTCTTTATTTCCTTCTATTCTTTTTAAGTATATTTAGTTATGTAAGATATTTAAACTCCGCGACTCCGACTCCACAGCCCTGGTTACTATTCTTGGATTCATTACCTATAAATGAAGTAGTGCTTTTAACTATTAACAGATAAACTTCTTCAGGGCGTCTCCTTGTCAATAGTTTGTTGTTGATTATGTTAATGTGAAAAGTTTATTTCAACACAGGCTAAGGAAGAAGTATTTTTATTTACTGGTGATGTAAGTTTTAAGCAAAATAAGCATGTTTCATATATCAAAATATGTTCTGTTATTTCTTTATTTATTGATAAAATATAACCTGTTATGGTGATAATTTTTTTTTGCATGAATCAATTTTTAACACAGTTCTCTCTGAAGGAAAATTTTTATAATGGAGGTGTTATACTGCTGCTATGCTAATATTATATTATATTATATTCATATTTTTATTGATATATATTTTTCAGGGGCTGTAGATTTTGGTAATGTATATCTTGATTGTATGTATGTATGTATGTATGTATGTATGTATGTATGTATGTATGTATGTATGTATGTATGTATGTATGTATGTATGTATGTATGTATGTATGTATGTATGTATGTATATAATATGGCCCAAGCTCCAGCGTGTTTTATATAACATGTTAATTTTTATAGGGGCTGTTGAATGGAACGAAATAAACAATGCTAAAGATGCAAATGCTTTTGGCGGTACGCATCCTGATTCAAAATGCACAAGTAACTTTTTTTTCAAAATGCACAAGTATTCAAAATGATTCAAAATGCACAAGTAACTTTTTATTGAATTTGAAATATAATGCTTTTCATATTATAAATATAAATTAATTTTTTCGTTCTCTAAATTTCAAAGTGGAAATTTGGTTACTGTCTGGAAGTCTATACACTTCCAATCGGTATGTATACATTAGTATGTATACCTAGTAAACAACCTATCTATGTTGTGATTTATGTTGTATTGCTATTATTGATATGTGAAAATTTATACTTTTTTTTTTAGATGCTGCACATAGTGAATTATCGGTTTATAAAAAACGTTGGAAATTTACCTGATTCGATTTAGTTGATGATTTAATTGATTCAGAATAGTTTATTTAAATAAAATATATAGTTTTATTTTATATTTGTGTTTTACATATACTTTAGTTGCTTAATCCTATATTCCTTTTTTTCCGATTTAAATTAGTGTATTAAGATTTGCATCGGCTAGCCGAGCATTTGTAGCTTATTTTAATCATCGGACCTAGCTCCGCTGCCGACATTGGACCGCAATTGTTTTTGTCCTTACGGAATTGCATCGGGCTGAGATCGGCCAGTTGATGATTTGATTGGAATCGTGTCGGCTCAACATTAGCCAGCCGTTGCATCGCGGCAGTTTGAGCGGCTAGCCGATGTCGGGCCGACCTCGGTTCGTATGAACAAAAACGCCGTCGGTCCGATATCGGCAGGCGAGCTCGGGCTGACATCGGCTCTAACACAGGAATATATATACATCTTATAACATTCATGAAACTCTAAAGTATTTACATTCAATTAAGTTCTCAAAATATTAAAAAAATTACCCATAGATAAACCCAGTAAAAATCTTGTTACAACAGCCCAGGGGTAGTTAAATGAAAATCCAAACATAAGTGTTGAAATTGTAATGCATCCTCCAGACAACAGAAGGGAAATTTTCCTTCCAAATTTATCACAGGCGTAGCCCCATAACAAACTAAATAGAAAAAAAATATAACCACTTTTCTACTGTCAACTTTTTTAATTTTTCCATTTAATTAAAAAATTAAATCTTTTACGTATTTAGGAAAATTTAAAGAAAAAAAAGTTTGTCTTTCATTTCTAACATTAACTTGATCATACAGTATTTTAATTTATATTTATTGTTATATTAGGCACTTCAGTCACGTGACAAATTCCGTAGACAAACTTTTCGAAGTTTTTTATATATTTTATCTGAAAAAGAGGACTTTTTCAGATAAAATTTAGACCGATTTTTTTATCCTATTATTTCACAGTAAAACATTTTACGAAAACTAAAATGATTATTCTTTCATAAAACGTCTGCTAGAGTTTTTAATAAAAGTTATTCTGGCTGTAGGAGCAATTTTAGTTAAGTTTTTGTAATTATTTTAGGTAAAAATTATTTTATTTGCGTTCTAGCATCCTTTAAAATAACATATAACCTTTTTTCTTTATATTTCTTTTTTCTTTTTGCGGTTTTATGATAAATAACTTGGTCTAAAATAACTTTGAAAAAACTATTTTTTTTCTTATATTAACAGAGGGTATTCACCTTATATTTTAAATTTAAGTTAAAACTTGTTAAATCCCATCCTCTTCTTCCTTTCAGTTCGTCTTAATATTATTTCAAAAATTATTTCGGTAACTTATTTACAAAAATAGTATAATAATTTAATTGTATAAAACAGGATTTGTATAAAATTAGCCTTATAATAATGATTAATAAAGAATTGTATGATTGGTATTTATGTTTGAATGATAAATCTATGAAAATGGTGTGCTCGAATTTCAGAAGCCGATTCTCAAATTTTTTTTCAGTAACTAAAAACAATTTGAGCTTGTACAACAAAATTAAAATTGTAGTAGATAAATTTAAATCTTAAAAAAAAAAACAATAAAAGAAGAGATGTATATAAGCTGATGCTCTTTGTACCGCCTATTTCGGAAATTAATTGTGAACTATGCATATCAAGTGAGAAAAATAAAACGAAGAGTTAAAAAAGAAAATTGAACCAACAAACGTCGAAAAACTGTTTTAAAAAATTAAAAGTTACTTTATCTGATTGTCAAAATAAGTTCAAATTTGCAAAACTTCGTATTAGTAATATGAAAAAAACAATTACATCTAACGACCCAGAAAGAACATATAAATTATTACATGCAAGTAATAAAGCAAAGATTCGTCAATTAAAAAAGAAACAAAATAAAGAAATAAAGGAATTAAAAGATTTCTATGATAAAGTCATTACAAATCTTAATAATAAAGTTAAACTTTTTTTAGGTAAGCTTGAAAAAAGTGAAAATAAAGTTGCACTCCTAAAAGAGGAAAAAAGAATTACATGCAAAAAATTGTATTATGCAAACAAGAAGTTTAGCATGGTAGTAAATAAACATGAGATTTTTTCTTCTAATAATTCAAATACTGACTCTCCTAACACTAGAGTATTAAGCAAAGAAAATAAAGATTTTAATTTAAGTTGTCTTCGCCATGATCGCAAAATAGCAGCATTTCAAAATGGAAGGTATTCTAATGATATAAGAGAAGTTATTATGGAGTTAGTTTCTTTGAATGTCAGGATAAACAAAGTTAATGAAGTTATCACAATTGTTTTAAAAAAAACTAGCCAAGGTAGATATAGAGAAGCTTCCCTCAATTGGTACAAAATCTCAATTTATGACTGAGGCATTAGCACTTGCTCAACTTCAAGTTGCAGAAGAAATGATAAACATTGTAGAAAATAATTCGGGCGATTGTCTTCTTAGTGACAATACCGCTAAACATCATAGACATTTTCAAAATTTCCAAGTTTCTACCAAAAACGGAAGTACTTTATCTTTTCGATTATGTGAAATAGCTGGCAGTAATGCAGAATATACTATTAATGCATTAGCAAAAACATTAGATAATATATGTGACATTTTAGAAAGTAGCAGCAAGGAAAACGATTTTTCTAACCTTGTATGTTCTTTTAAAACTACCATGTCTGATCTTGGACCAGTTAATACACTGTTTAATTTAAAGCTTAAAGATATGAGAAAAAAGTTACTGCCTAAAGTTATAAAGAACTGGGAGGGTTTAAAAAAAGGAGAGCAAGCAGATTTCATTGAAATGTCTAACATTTTTTGTAAGTTGCATTTACTAACTAATTTTGCAACAGAAACTGATAAAACAATAAACTCGTTCGAAAAGTTAGTTTTAAGTAGTAGTTATAAAATTTTTTTTGCATTTAATACTGCTGAATCAGGTGCTACTAGATTGATAAGAACTGCATGTAAAGCTTTTTATGTTAGGGGAAGTGATGAAGCTGGTGTTCCTGGGTATTTTAATGCATTTCTTGCTGGTAAAGGTCAAAGTTAGTGTATGCTTGCATCCTTTGTTGGTAACCGATTTAATATATTATGTTATAATGCTGCAGCTTTATATTTCCATTCAAAAGATATTTTAGAGTTTCTTCAAAATTGGCCAAATCAAAAAAATCTTTTACTTTCAGTTAAAGAAGATATTAGCAACAAATTATATTTAGCAGAAGTGCGGGCTCTTAGAATAGTTGATAAAATAATTACAGGTCCACTTTGGCGGATAATTGAATCGCAAAAGAGTATTCTTGATATGAATCCATTTTTGTTAACCCTAAAAATGAAACTTTCACACTTGTGTAAAAATGCATCATTGATTATGATCTCAAAAACACCTATATTCAGTCCAAGTGATAATAATATTCATAAAGATATTTTGTTTGATAAATTGTTTTAAGAAACTAATGACACTGATTTAAATATTTTAACACAGCAGACATTAGAAGTGATTTGCCATTCTTTGTTAGTTGCTCTGGACAAACAAACTAGTGATCAACTTCCTGGAGGTAAATATTGGCATCCTTCTGATAATATAAGTAAGGCTGCAGAGAATGTTCCAACAAAAAACAAAGCGTCAGAAAGTGACTTTGCAGTATTGGATCTTTTAATTCGTACAATGCCTAATGCCAAAATACAAACTACATAGGCTTTAATATTTGCATTTTGTTATAACTATACAAGCTTATATGTTTATACTTTATTGTTTTTATACCTAAGTGATATAAAAACAAAACACTAGACTGGTTGGATAAAAAGACTTTAGATGAACGTGATTCATTGCTAAAAAAAGCTTCAACAAACTTTAGTAAAATGAAAGATAAATACAAACAACGCCATTTAGAATTAAAGTTTGAAATGAGTGAAAGATTGTCTGAAAAGTATAAAGCTAAAAAGCAGCTGAAGATAAAGCCTTCTTAAAAAAAGTTAAATTGGTTAATGAGTTGTTAAATTTGGGGACGAAGGTGTGGTTGACCTCAAAAGAAGCATATTATGAATATATTTTGTTAGTTGACACATTTAAAACCAAAATAATATTAAGAGCACAGTTGGATTTTTATAGTTTTGTAATGGAAGTTAAATGTGAACCTAAATATTTTTACAAAACTAAAATGCTTGGTAGTAAGCGAATAGACTTAACAAATTGTGAGTTGTTTAGTAATTTACAATCAGTTAGTAGAACAAGGACTTTTCCAGAGCCCATCGAGAGAGGAGTTATTCTTGCTAAAAGAAAGAACGAGATGTTTTGATTGCAAAACAGAAAGAGGAGTTTGGTGAAAAATTAAAGAATGCAAGACTGTCTTAATTAGCAAATCAACAAAAAACAAACATCTTGTCTATTATTCTAAATGATGTTAATTATCTTGTTGGGAAATTTATTCAACTTTTGGTGCCAATTCAACTTTTGGTGTAAAGGTGAAGTTCTTCGAGTAAACAAATTAACTCATAATTAAAAAAAATTTTTGTTTGATGTGGTCTATGAGACTGAAGAAAATCAAGTATGGACTTTTCCATTGCTTGTTGACCTTGACACTCTTGTTTTCATTGCTTGTTGACACTTCATACTCTTTGTTGCCAGACAGAACTTTAAGGGCACTTTATTTACTTTAAAATTTATTGTAATTGAGGTATGTTGTGTTAACACTAACACTTACTTGCGAATTGTTTTACGCTACTCATGAAGCTTTTGACTTTTTTCCCTTCTTGTTGCTTGAAAGAGCGAAGTTTGTGGCGCATCATAATAGGTGTTGATCGTTTTTGACTTTTTTTATCAAGTATTTTGATTGCATTATCAAATTATGTAGTATCCTGAATATTGTGAAAGCTTTAACACCGGGTAGTACGAATAAAACTTGGAGTTAGCAATCTTCGTCTATGTTAGCTTTATCTAAATAAATTGATAGCATTTTTTTTTAGTATATATACTCTTCTTTGTTTGGTTCGTCGCATAGTACTTTTTTAAATATTTTAGCATCAATTTTATAAATTTTTTTTTTTTTAAATATTTGATAAAATTGATGTGAAACCGTAACAAATAAGTCTATATTAAATATTTTCGGCTTTTATCAAATAATAAATCAAACACAATTCAAGATCTACAAAACAGATTTTATAACACATCAATTAAATATAACTAGAATAACTTAAGTTCATTCAACTGCACTTTATAATGACGTGATTGACGTCAAATACATAGTTCTTAAGAATATAACAGTAACACATTGTACTATGTGTTACAATGTACTATATGTTATAATGCACTGTTACATTGTACTACCTGTAAAAACGTACTGTGTGCTAAAATGTGTTACATGTCACCATGAAAATTAATACGAGTTAAAAGGGTTTTTTTTAGTTTTTAAGTACCTCTTTTCAATTATTTAAATATCTGTAAATTTTTTTTTTTTTAATTGTAAACAAAAGTAAAAATAGTATTCAATAATGAAAACAAATAGTTTAACTATTAAAATAAATTGACAGTTAAAATGATTAAAATTAAATGAAAGTTAAAAATTCGATAATTAAAATGATTTAATATAACTAGGCACTTCAGTCCATTTTATGATCTTGTAATAAGATTAAGTTGAAATGTTAATTTTAATTTCATTTTATTCAAAGTTTTAATCTCGTTTCAAAATGAGTTTATCCAATTTTGTAGCACCTATGGTTGTCAAGAAAGTTGCATTTTAATACTACCTAATTTGACATTTTTTTAGACAAAAAAATGCGCTTTTTCTTTTCAGTTTTTTTTTTTAACATTTATTTTTTATCATCAAAACTGCGTAAAACATTTAAGCAACGACTTTAGGCAATAATCTATCTGTTACCATTAAATTATAATATTATAATAAATTATAATATTATTATAAATTATTAGTGTATAATAATCTATAATATTTATATCTATATCGTTTATAGTTATTATAACGTATCATATATGTATACATATATAAATATGTAATGTGTTTTATATATATATATATATATATATATATATATATATATATATATATATATATATATATATATAAATATGTAATGTGTTTTATATATATATATATATATAATATATATATATATATATATATATATATATATATAAATATGTAATGTGTTTTATATATATATATATATATATATATATATATATATATATATATATATATATATATATATATATATATATAAATATGTAATGTGTTTTATATATATATATATATATATATATATATATATATATATATATATATATATATATATATATATATATATATATATATATATATATATATATATATATATATGTAATGTGTTTTATATATATATATATATATATATATAAATGTGTAATGTTCTATAACTATATTAATGTAAATATGTTTTTTTCAGGTGTTCTAAAGTTTAATTGTGAACTGAAAGTTATTTTATTTGTATATTGTTTAATGGTAACAGATAGATTATTGCCTAAAGTCGTTGCTTAAATGTTTTACGCAGTTTTGATGATAAAAAATAAATGTTAAAAAAAAAAACTGAAAAGAAAAAGCGCATTTTTTTGTCTAAAAAAATGTCAAATTAGGTAGTATTAAAATGCAAATTTCTTGACAACCATAGGTGCTACAAAATTGGATAAACTCATTTTGAAACGAGATTAAAACTTTGAATAAAATGAAATTAAAATTAACATTTCAACTTAATCTTATTACAAGATCATAAAATGGACTGAAGTGCCTAGTTATATTAAATCATTTTAATTATCGAATTTTTAACTTTCATTTAATTTTAATCATTTTAACTGTCAATTTATTTTAATAGTTAAACTATTTGTTTTCATTATTGAATACTATTTTTACTTTTGTTTACAATTAAAAAAAAAAAAATTTACAGATATTTAAATAATTGAAAAGAGGTACTTAAAAACTAAAAAAAACCCTTTTAACTCGTATTAATTTTCATGGTGACATGTAACACATTTTAGCACACAGTACGTTTTTACAGGTAGTACAATGTAACAGTGCATTATAACATATAGTACATTGTAACACATAGTACAATGTGTTACTGTTATATTCTTAAGAACTATGTATTTGACGTCAATCACGTCATTATAAAGTGCAGTTGAATGAACTTAAGTTATTCTAGTTATATTTAATTGATGTGTTATAAAATCTGTTTTGTAGATCTTGAATTGTGTTTGATTTATTATTTGATAAAAGCCGAAAATATTTAATATAGACTTATTTGTTACGGTTTCACATCAATTTTATCAAATATTTAAAAAAAAAAAAATTTATAAAATTGATGCTAAAATATTTAAAAAAGTACTATGCGACGAACCAAACAAAGAAGAGTATATATACTAAAAAAAAATGCTATCAATTTATTTAGATAAAGCTAACATAGACGAAGATTGCTAACTCCAAGTTTTATTCGTACTACCCGGTGTTAAAGCTTTCACAATATTCAGGATACTACATAATTTGATAATGCAATCAAAATACTTGATAAAAAAAGTCAAAAACGATCAACACCTATTATGATGCGCCACAAACTTCGCTCTTTCAAGCAACAAGAAGGGAAAAAAGTCAAAAGCTTCATGAGTAGCGTAAAACAATTCGCAAGTAAGTGTTAGTGTTAACACAACATACCTCAATTACAATAAATTTTAAAGTAAATAAAGTGCCCTTAAAGTTCTGTCTGGCAACAAAGAGTATGAAGTGTACTACTTACGCATTGATACCTAGAGTGGATATTGACAAAATTAAGCCAACCGCTACAACATCACGACGGGTTCCTAAAAATAACTCCTTCATAACAGACGAGATAAGCCGTATGTTAAAGCAAAATATAATCCAAGTGAGCCGTAGCCCTTGGCGTGCACAATATTTTGTAGTATCATCAGGAAACATCACGTCATTATAAAGTACAGTTGAATGAACTTATTCTAGTTATATTTAATTGATGTGTTATAAAATCTGTTTTGTAGATCTTGAATTGCGGTTGATTTAATGTTTGATAAAAGCCGAAAATATTTAATATAAACTTATTTATTACGGTTTCACAACAGTTACATTGTGCAGTGTGTTACATTGTACAATGTGTTACATTGTACAATGTTTTATGTTGTACAATGTTTTACATTGTACATTCTAACACATAGTACATTATAACACACAGTACATTATAACACATAGTATATTATAACACACAGTACATTGTAACACATAGTACATTGCAACAAATAGTACAGTGTAACACATAGTACAATGTAACACATAGTACATTATAACACATTGTACATTATAACACACTTGTACATTGTAACATAGTACATTGTAACACACATTACATTGTAACACATAGTACGCTGTGCCACATAGTACAATGTAAGACATAGTACAATTTAACACATAGTACATTATGCAACACGTAGTACATTGTAATATTGTAGTACACATAATACAACACGTAGTACATTGTAACACATATTACATTGTAACACATAGTACATTGTAACACATCTAACACATTATTACTGTGTTACACCTGTTGAAACAAATATTTAAGTAAAAAAAGTGAAATATTCAACCTCTTGTTAATACTTTTTTAATTTGAAAACCTGCTAAATATTACATAGCTACAATATTTTTAAATTTCTGTTTAATATTATCTATTAGGCTATAGTTATGTTCTTTATAGATTTCAATATGCTGAAACTAATGATTATACCTGCTAAATATTCTGGAAATAAACAAGGCTGATGCAACGATTCCAGATTTTCTTCCTAAAAAATTATTTTTTATGTGTTCTCATGTATATGTTTTAAAATCAAAAAGCCACAAAATGGGATGTTTTTGGATTAGATATACTAATGTACTTTAATATACTGATATAGTATACACACACACACACACACACACACACACACACACACACACACACACACACACACACACACACACACATATATATATATATATATGTATATATATATTTATATATATATATATATATATATATATATATATATATATATATATATATATATATATATATATATATATATATATATATATATATATATATATATATATATATATATATATATATATATATATATATATATATATATATATATAAAAGAGTCAACTTGATGAGAAAATATAGCAAAATGTCTAATTACTTTTGGATGTTACTGTTTATACAATGCGTTTATACAGTAAATGTAGCCCTCAAAGTGTCTTGACAATCTATTGTTTTTTCTATTTCTTTTAAACTTATATATTAAAATATAAAAGTATATATATATATATATATATATATATATATATATATATATATATATATATATATATATATATATATATATATATATATATATATATATATATATATATATATATATATATATATATATATACAATCTGCTACATGTTCAACTGCCTTATAGGATATGCCTTTTTAGGCAAAGGCTGGGAGATGCATACTCCGACAAAAATCACCTTAGAGCCCCTGCCTTGGGGCTCTTGGTTGAGAAAAGGCTAGAGATGGCGTCTCAATAAAAATACTCATTTTGAGCAAATGTTAAATGCATCTTGCTGCTGTCTTGTAGAAGGCCTCCTAAGCAAAGACTTAAAGGGTAAACAGACTCTATCCGTTGGCCAGCCTCGTACCCCTTCTTCATCTATTAGGCTAGCGCAGATGTATTTATAATACATTGTTTTCAGTTTAGGATGTTGAACACTGGATCTTCTTGACTCGATGCATGGGTTTTGCTTGTGTCTTTGTTTTTATGACTAGGCAACTCATTTTATTATCTGCAAATGAGGGTACAGCACTAAAACTCAGTTTTATGGTTCTGAGGCAGGCTGGTAGTCAGGTTTCCCGAACTCTGTGATAGCTCTCAGAGAGGCTAATTCCATCAACAGCTGAAACATATCAGAGTACTAACAGTGCCATGTTGCGCATGGATGGTGTCCCTGTTTGTACTTTTGGTGTGCATTGCCAAGACCACATTAAAGCCCTTTGTTACGACTTAGGGCTTATTAGTCGAAAATGAGGCAGTTGCTTGAGCTCTAAAACAGTTTACTGAGTACTATCTATGTTTAGAGTCAAGTTCTTTAATTAATTTAAAAATGAATAAATTAACTAAAACCATAAAACACAAGACTAATTTGAGTTCTTTTGTCTCATCTTGTGATCTTAGTGTTGATGGTTATCTTCCTTTAATTCGTAAAGACTCCAATAGTCACATGCTTGGCCTGGCCATTCACATTCGTATGAATTTACCCATTTGTCCAAAAACTAGGTTTGAATCCACAGAATACTCTTTTATGTGCTTTCGTTTAGCACCACTTCACTCTATCACCTTTCTCTTTGTTCTATATCGCTCTCCTTCATCTCAAGACTGCACTCTTCTTAATGTTATTTCTGATTACATTGACCAATCCCTCATTCTTTATCCATCAGCCAATATTGTTGTTGTCGGTGACTTTAATGTTCATCACACTGAATGGCTTGACACTAGTGTCAGTGACTCCGCAGGCATTAAGGCCCACAACTATTGCCTGTCTTAATCCCTAACTAAAGTAGTCAACTTTCCAACTCGCTTTCCAGATAACCCGAATCATTTACCTTCTCTACTCAACTTATGTCTTCTTTTAATCCTAGTCAGCGCTCAGTTTCTTCACACTCACCCTTAGGTGCTTCTGATTATGGTTTGGTCTCTCTAAAACTATTATCTCATTCTTCTTTACCATCTGAATCCCCCTATCATCGTACATCTTACAACTACCTAGACAAGCAGCTTACAAGTCCCAGTAAGTTGCTTGTCTTTCTCTTTTCTACAAATACGATAATGGGCACTGCTCTGAAGAGCTAGCGTTTCTTGCGCCATTTACTAAACTTCATTCTCGTGTCACTCGTCATTTAATTAAGTCTCATCTTTTTTCTGATACTGTTCCTAAGTACTCCAAAAACTTTTACTAGTCTAGTTTTTTTCCTCAAACATCAGTTCTTTGGAATTCGCTTTCTTTTTCTTGCTTTCCTGATTCATATAATTTGCAATCTTTTAAGTCGTCTGTCAATCGTTATCTTGCTCTAAAATCTTCATCTTTTCTCTTCCAGTAACTTCCAACACTATATATATATATATATATATATATATATATATATATATATATATATATATATATATATATATATATATATATATATATATATATATATATATATATATATATATATATATATATATATATATATATATAATATATATATATATATATATATATGCTTTTGTTTGGTCATCTTTATTTTAAAAAGTATAAATTTTTTGTATTTGTAAAAAGAATTAGTTTAGAAAGCTAAATAAAAGTTTCCAAATTTAAAAAAAAAAAGTTTTTTATTGATAGAATGCCTGCCTAAACCAAAATCCTCTTCAAGTGTAGCTGTACTTTTCCAAAAAAAAAACAGTATTTTCTTCATTATTTCCTAATTTTTTTTTTGATAGTTGAATACCTTTACTTTCTCTGGTATCCTTGATCTAGAAAACACCCTGAGTGTATTTGATTTTGTCATTATTAAAGACAGAGAGTCATTTAGAGCCATTTTTATAACAATTGGTAAGTTTAGATTTTAAACTAAAGAAATAGAGTAACAATTTGTTAAATAAACACGCTATAGTAAAAAACGTAGTAATAATTTATAAAAATGTATACATGTCAAATTTAACATAATTGGTAAATTAGTAATTATTGTTTATTTTGAATTTTTTTTTTTTTCGATGTACACATACATCAACTATTTAGATAAATCATCGACCAAAAATTAAAAAGAAATAATTCAAAAAAGTTTTTTATATTAATAACCCTTGAACCTCGCCTCTCTTGATCTTTGTAAATACTAAATATAGATAATAAAAGTCAGAAATATAAAGAGAAAAGGTTTTTGTATACATTGATACTAAATCTAACCTGCATCAACTTCAGTGGATCCAAAATCCTAAAATAAAATTATTTTTTTATAACCTACAAAAAAATTTTTATTTTATTTCAAGTTCATTTCAATAACCAATTGTCAATATAACTTATATTTTTATGTGTTTGAAATCAAACTATCTCTAATGTTTATATTTATATATAATTTTATTTGTATTGATATTAACATATATTTGCTTTTCATTGATGAAACCTTCCCCAGGACACCAATTAAAATAACTCGTTAGTACTTAGCCTCTATAAAAATGGGCAAGATTTATTTCTTCGGTTATTATTTACTATGAATATTTAAACTTTGGTGTTTCCGCTTTTAGTTGAAGAGGGTCTAGCATTGTTTTCAGCATGCTTACTTTTGAATTAAATATTCAGGAAAATGTCATAAATGAAGAGCCAAAATGATGTGAAAAATTCTGATCGTGAAAGAAAAATTTGATGACCTACTAAAAAAGTGTCAATATTAAGAGAATATAATCAACAATCGATAATTATATTAGATAATATGAGGATTTAACAGTTGATGATCTCATAAGTTACTTAATGGCTCAACTAGAACGCCAAAAGTAAAGACCATTATTGAAAGATATCATTTTCATGCAAAATGTAAAAATCTAAAAAAGGTAAAGTAATAGCTTATGAATTATAAACTTTGAGGCTAAATCTAAATTATTCACTTCTAACAAAACAGTCGATTGTGATTCAGATTGAAGCATTACCTCCTTTCCTGTGTTGACCGTAATACTTCAGATTACCCACACTTTACTACTATCTGACATTCATAGCAGTTGTTGACATCCGGTCACTGTAGTGCCTATAATAGTATGTTTGATATTGTTTTACTTTTTACATTGTTGAAAGTTTATATTATTTGTTAGTCTTTTTTTTTAGATTATTCTCCTTTTTTTATTTGGCTAGAATGGAGGTTTATATAGATAAATAAATATAAGAGTAAAATTTATTTTTTTCAAGGTATTTTTTATGTTTGTAGAAAAAAGTGTCAATATTAAGAAACAAAAAAGTGTCAATATTAAGAGAATATAATCAACAATCGATAATTATATTAGATAATATGAGGATTTAACAGTTGATGATCTCATAAGTTACTTAATGGCTCAACTAGAACGCCAAAAGTAAAGACCATTATTGAAAGATATCATTTTCATGCAAAATGTAAAAATCTAAAAAAGGTAAAGTAATAGCTTATGAATTATAAACTTTGAGGCTAAATCTAAATTATTCACTTCTAACAAAACAGTCGATTGTGATTCAGATTGAAGCATTACCTCCTTTCCTGTGTTGACCGTAATACTTCAGATTACCCACACTTTACTACTATCTGACATTCATAGCAGTTGTTGACATCCGGTCACTGTAGTGCCTATAATAGTATGTTTGATATTGTTTTACTTTTTACATTGTTGAAAGTTTATATTATTTGTTAGTCTTTTTTTTTAGATTATTCTCCTTTTTTTATTTGGCTAGAATGGAGGTTTATATAGATAAATAAATATAAGAGTAAAATTTATTTTTTTCAAGGTATTTTTTATGTTTGTAGAAGTATTTCAGTATTTATTATAGTTTTTGTGACAAAGTTTCAATATTTTTTTATCAACAAAATTAAAATCAAATTTTTTTTTTTTTTTTTTTAAATTTTGCAATTAGAGAAAATTTTAAGAAAAAAATTTCACAAGGAAGAGGTAACTTAAAAACATGATAATTTGAAATATCAGAAGGAATGTGCTCAAGTTATATTTAAAAATATGATAATATTATTATATTTTCTTTATTTTAGTTATAATTGCAAATGTTTTTGGTTAAGTTATACTAGAGAGCCTATATACTCAGAGAGCGGACATACGGAAAAGACAGAAAAACGGCGTCCATGTTTTTGCCAAACTAGCTATATAAGTAACTTGAAAAAAGCTTTACAATTTATTTTATAAATTAGTTGAACCAAAACCTTAAGTGCCAATGCATTGTCATACTCTTGCTGCTAAGTTCACAAGAACTTCTTTTATTTTTTTTCTTATTAAATAGTAAACGCTTTTTTTAAGGCTAAATATTTTAAGTCTGAATGTTATAAACCTGTTTTCTAGCTTCAATTTAATTTGATGACAATTAGGATACAAAGTTAGACTTTTAAATTGTTCATCAGAATTAATTTTCTCTAAAGGCATAGTATTACAGTTCTTTTGGGAATTAAGGTTAGGCTTAAATGATCCAAATATTAACTCTATTTGTCAAAAGAATGCGAATGTTGTTTCATTTGCAAAAAATAAACTACTCACTTTGTGCTCTTTGTCTGTAACAAACTTTGTGTAATTAGCATTAACTCTATTTTTAGAAACTAGAGATTCAAAATAAATTGTGCAAACTTTTTCATTTTTTTTAACTCTAGAAATTATATAACCTGCAATATTAAACAAACAACTTCGCTCAGCATTATTTAAGATAAAGTTAGAGGTTTTATCCCAATACTTGGGTAACACAATGCACTCTCTTTACTGTGACTTATGCACCTCATTATTACTTATATCAAGAAAACTAGATAAGAATTGACGGTCATCTATATCATAACTGCCTAATGATGATTTTTTTAAGAATTGGGTAACGCAAATAAGTTTAAAGTTATTTTTAAATTGAAGAGCAGTAAGATTTACTTGTTTTGCACATACCAGGGAAAAAAGAATCTCTAGGCAATCCTGCGTAAAGTGCGATGTCATTAGAAAATCAAATTTTTTTTCTAGAAGAAACTTTTTTGCAAATTAATAACTGATGTTGTTGATAATATAACACCAGATTAAATAGGTTTCTGTAAAAAAAGTTAACTATCTATACCTTTAAGAACTCTGTTATTTTACGTACTATTTACAATTTTTATGCATTTTTCGTAATCAACTAAAACTCCCTGGGGATAATTATGTACAAAAATAGATATAAAGAAAAATAAGGATATATTTACACTAAGGATTTGTAAACGCTATTAAATATAATAGCGTTTACAAATTAGCTATTAACATCTCGCCAAGAACAAAGTTCTTAAGGCAAATAGTCATTTAAATATGTCGGCCTTTTCCGTTCTCTAGTTGAACGTCTGAGCAATGGTAATAAATTATCCATGACTTCAATACCGTCATTTTCCTCGTCAGCAACTGACTCTTTGTCAACTGAATCTTCTTCAGCAACTGACTCTTCGACATCCTCATCTCTTGCAATATGTAAATCTTCGAATTCACTTTCGTCGCTTTCATTTTCTTCAACGCTATTTTTTCTTAAAACTTTCTCAACATATGATTCAGTAACCGTTCTCACATTTCTCACATGTCGTGGTACAACATCAGTTTTAATATTTGTTTTTGAGAGTATATTGGTCACATTGCCAATATTTTAAATCGTCGTGCAATTTGCACCAACAGGATGAACGTAAACTTGTTCTCTACTTCTATAGGTTGCCGAGACCTTTTGTGATCTTTCATGACCTTCTGTATTGCTCTCCTCATAAATGGGTAGACGCCAGACGTACTTATTTTTTAGAGAAGCAGGTTTAGAGTCTTCTTGCGTTCCAATCATTGGTGTTGCATTATACCAAAATACCGCATGTAACAAACATATCTGTGCCTTCGCAGAAGTGTGTTTTACTGTGCAATGGTTACGCTCCACGAATCTGTTTCCTGATAGTTTATATGCACATCTATACATCTTTTGTACAAACCATTTTGCACACATGTTTAAAAACTCATTTTATCTAAACACAGCTCCATTGTCCATCAATAGTTCGTGTGGCGGGCCATGCTCCCTTAATACGGAATCCAATTGAATTAATATACTTTTGGTCTCTTTGTGTAACATCTTTCTTCATACTGCGAATCAACTTGGTCCACAGTCAATCAATATTAGGTAAGGTGACCCTTTATAGTGAGTCACGTCACATGCAATACAATACCATGTATCAATTACATCTAACACTCCATGTTCCCATTTTATTGGTGCTGGATCAATTGAACTACATTGATAACATTTGCTCACACACTCTTCTACGTCTTTTTTCGACACTTGCGGGATTCTTTGTTGTATTGTAAACATTGTTCGATTAACGCCAAAATGATGCTTAGAGTGACATTTACGAGTTTCATCGGCAATATTTACCCCACAGAATTCTTTGATATTTTTTCGTGAAATTTCATTAAACCACTTTTTTGAAAATCTTGTCAATACATCTGCTTTGTTTTTTGAGGACAGAACCCACTTCATCATGATGTTCATGCTGTATTCCTTTATTAAATTACGCAATAGAGAAAGTCTTTGTTTGATTAGCATTTCTGATTGTCCATTTGACCGAACCCTATGACTTTCAGTCAGCACACTTTTTAACCAACCATGAACAGTCACCGAGTCGGTAAATATCGATAGGTTCTTGATGTCCCACTTATCAGCTAGGTTTATTCCACGCACCACAGCCTCTAATTCAGCCATATTAATATGCATGACATATTAATATACTTTTTAGCCATGCTGCATTCTCAACTATTACGCTGTTACATTCGATTGAAATACCCATTGCAATACTACAAGCATCACACCATATTATTGCTCTATTTTGAATACTATCAGCATTCCATGTCCTATTTAGAGGATCACTAGCTTCCAAACGGCGCAATATTTTGACCGACCATGACTTTGCTTGATCTCCTATTAGATCATCCCAAGCATTTCCTTGACTATAACGTTTTGTAAAACTGCAATTCTGAGCCAGTTTCCAATCAAGTGCCTACATATTGAAAACAATCTCCGTCGTGTTATTTTTTCATTTTCGACGTTTCCAAGAAAGCACTTTTTTATCGTTTCTGAATACTTGCAAACCCAAAACTCGTGCATCATCACATTTCTCCGGCTCTTTTTTTACAAACCATACCGTTCCAAATGGTTTACGACATTTTCAACCGATGTCTTTTTTAAATCAACGATTATGCCGTCAATATAATGGTCAGCTGCTTTACCAATACCTGCATCAAGACTTAGCACTTTGCCTAAGATTCACGACATAATCTTTGGTGCAGAATTTAACTCAAATCCGAGTCGTGTAAGGTGGTATTGCATCTATTTGTAGACTACCCTCTGATGCTTCCACAAAACCGTATCAATGTGCATTTGCATGTAAGCGAATCTGAGATCAAGCAGTGCAAATTTGTAAACAACTCTTCTCCATCTTTTGAATGTTTCATCGCAGGCATCACTCAAGGCGTTATGCAAATAAACGTATTGGTTCAACTCGCAAAAATCCAAAACATATCGTATCTTCCCTTTATTTTTTTGTTCATCTGCCATTAAGGGGATTATCCCTTGTTTTTATTATTTTCATTTATTTTACATGGTTTCAACCAACTATTTTCCACCAATAAATTGGTTTCTTTTGACACAAACACTTACTTTCTGAGACATTTTGTTTTAAATAATGGTTCGAGTACATCCACTATCAACCAGTGCCTTTCCTGCAAATGTGTTCACATGCACACTGCATATCGGAAACGCCGTTAGATGTCAAGGAAAACAGCTGGCGCTGGAGGTTTTCCAATTGCGTTTCCCTGTTGCAAGGAGAAAAATCTTGCAATGTATCCAGTTTTTCCACATTGAAAACATCGTATTCTTTCATTAACAGCTACTTTCTTTGGAAAACATCTTCGAGAAAGAGGCAGGTTTTGATAGAGCCGATGCCATTATATCTAACTTACAGGCACCTGACCATAATTGTATTTTACTCTTTGTGTGGCAACGCTGGATACCTGTCACCCACAAAAATTTTAGAGTTCTACTAAAACAAAGAGCGTCGTAAAGGTGCACTAAAAATTTTGAAAACAAAATGTAAATATATATATATATATATATATATATATATATATATATATATATATATATATATATATATATATATATATATATATATATATATATATATATATATATATTTATGTCCTTTTTTTCTACAAATAATATTAGATTAAAGTTTTGGTAAAGAATGTGGTACCAAGGACGTATTAATAAATGGACGTTTATAGATCTAATTAATAATTTCGCTTTTTTAACTACTTTTTTTAAAAGGTAAAAATACCTACAAAACTCTAATATTTTTTTTTAAATTACAGGTATAATGCCCTCAAAAAGATAGTGCTCTCAAAAAGACAAAAAATTCAAATTGCTTATAACTATTTTTTAAAAGCGTTTTAAAAAATTGTGTAAATTCAAAATTGTAATCAGACCATATAAATTTCAGAAAAAAGTCAAGTTATTGTGCAGAAGTTCAAATTTTGCTCCAGAAGAATGTGTTTTATAAACTTTTAGTACATAAAATCACTAATATTTAACATAAAATGAAAAATATTGAACCGTAAACAAGAGTCCTAAAAAAAGCTGTTAATATGGTCCTTATAAAAGTAGTAATTATTTTTCACTTGCTTGATAAGAACATATAGTTTTGGTTGCTTAAAAAGCACTACTAAAATGTTAACATTTTTATTTTTTATTTGGCACCATATATTATTAACTTTTTATTGAATTTCTTATACTTCTTAAGAAGAAAAACTTCAAAAAACAAAAATAACTTTTTTAAAGTTTTTAAAGTTAAAGTTTTTCAATAATGGAATCTATCTAATAGTAAAGCAGCTAATAAACATATTGTTGTCTGTTGTTGAGGTTTTTCTATCATAGAACTGTTTTTTTTTAACTTCCTCTGCTAGCATTTTAAATTTAGTTAATAAGTGGCAAGAATGCTTGGATAAAGGAGGTATAGTTGGCGCTATGCTTATGGATTTATCAAAAGCATATGATTTAATTCCACATGATTTGCTTATAACTAAGTTGGAAGGTTATGGGTTTTCTTACGATCTTAAACTTATTATCTTATTATCTTATCTTTCTGCTCGCAAACATAGGGTAAGACTAGGATCGTCATTTTCTGAATATTTAGATATGGAATCTGGTGCACCTAAAGGCTCAATTTGGGGACCAATTTTCTTTAATATTTTTATCAACGATTTTTTCTTATTTATAAAATACTCTGAAATCTTCAACTATGCCAATGACAATACTCTTTCTGCTTGTAACAAAAACCTAGAGAGTGTTATTGCTTGTCTTTAAATATAAATATCAAACGCAATTTCATGGTTTACTTTGAATAAAATGGTTGCAAATCCGGACAAATTTCAACTTTTTTTAGCTGGCTTAAAATTTGTAAAGATCAATTAATTAGTTTTTGTTGATTATAAAATTATTGTAAACTATCAACTAAAAATATAGTTTTAAATAAAAAATAAATATATAATATTTCTAATATATAATAAATATAATCTATATATTCATACAACCGAAGTAAAGATTATAAGTGATAATAGGGTTGTCTACGCTTGATCATCGGAACAAAAATCATGTTTGTGTTGGTTGTGGTTAATTATTTTAATAATCACGGAAGATATAGATAAAACTTCAGAAGCACAAGAAAATCGCTACGCTTTTGCATAAAGCAGAATGCGGTTATTTGTCTCTTTTAATAGTTACCTTCGGTTGTTCAGTTTGGGTTTTGCTATTCAAGTTACCGGTTTCACTTTAATATTTTTATGATGCAGCTATGAGTCACATTAAAGAGTGCAGCAACAGCAGTCAGAGTCCTTTTTCAACAGTATAAGCTTTTTTTTTTGAGCATGGTTTTCTGTTTTTAGTTCATTAGTTTTTCCCATAAATAATAATTTAATTTTTCACTAAAATAACAGGAAATTATGAAAAAATTAATATTTTTTAAAATAAATCACATAAGCATATAACTTTATAACTCAAAATTTAAAATTAAAAAAAAAAGTTTTGAACAAATCTTTTATACTATTCGCAAATTTTAGAAATGTTTTAAACTTTGACTGTGACTATATATATATATATATATATATATATATATATATATATATATATATATATATATATATATATATATATATATATATATATATATATATATATATATATATATATATATATATATATATATATATATATATATTCGCATTCTGCTTTATGCAAAAGCGTAGCGATTTTCTAGTGCTTCTGAAGTTTTATCTATATCTTCCGTGATTATTAAAATAATTAACCACAACCAACACAAACATAATTTTTATTCCGATGATCAAGCGTAGACAACCCTATTATCACATATAAACTTTACTACGGTTGTATGTATATATATATATATATATATATATATATATATATATATATATATATATATATATGTATATATATATATATATATATATATATATATATATATATATATATATATATATATATATATATAATATATATATATATATATATATATATATATTATATATATATATATATACATATAAATCTCACATATATATTTATAAATACTCGCAACTCTTAAAAAAAAAAAAATGAAGTCAAGACGATTTGATTCAGCAAATAATATCATTCACGGTATCAAAAAAATAGAATTTGCCGTACCACGAATTTATGCGCCATCAATATTAAATTATTGCCTCGAGAGTACGACCAATGATTGACTAGGCAAGTAGTCAAATTTAATATCATATTTTTTTGATAAGTATAACAATCAAATCAAATATAAATCGTCATAATAAATTGCTTGTTTTTTTGAGCATTTGTCGTCTGGTATTAAATTGGCATGGTATTATGTAATAAATATTTACATTATCAAAAATAAAATGGTAATTTTGTTACAGGACCAATATATTTCCTATATATAATAAGTTTAACTCAGTAGTTAGGAAGTACATGACAAATAAGCATTCCCATAGAGTATACATAGATTTCTAACTAATTAACATAGCTAATTTAATTTTTTAATAAAATATAAATTTATTTGGTGTATGATAAATTCGATAAATGTATTTGTTATTATCATAATCATATACTAAAGATATCCTAGAATAAAAAAAAGCTACTTTAAAATTTGTCTTAAAAAAGGAAAAAGTTGCTGAAAAAAAAAAAAAGCCAAAAACCCAAAACTAAAAAACAAAAAAATCACGTTTTTAGACCCATAAAAACACAAAAGGATAATAATAATTTTTTTTTCAACTCTAGTCACATGCATTTAGTTTTTTCATAAGCTTCAGTGAATTCTTATCATAGATGGTTTTTTCTTCATCCACTAATAGCAACAAATAGGACAAGAATTTTTCTAACTCCAGGAAAATGATCTTTAAGGTGCAACAGCTTCAATGAGCAATTATGATTGATAGGAAGAGTTTTGCCAGCCCATCTCTTAATTAGATGACCTAGAAGCCATTTTCCTTTATATTTTCCTAATGTATAATGTTGTAATTATGATTGTGTATTTTGCTTTATTAGGTCTCAATCAATACTTATTTTGGCCTTATTGATGTGTAAACCTTGCATGCCATTCATAATATAGACCACAAAAACCATCCAAAACTTTCAAAAATGGGATCCTTATATTGTAAAAAATATTGTTCAAGGTGAAAACACACATAGCACATATTTTAATTTTACACATTAGAATAGAGTAAAAAAATCAAACAGCTGTTTTTAGGCATAACAAACTTTTACTGAACAAGAAATAAAAGCATAAAACAAAGCAAACAACAAACCTTGACAAGGTGAGGAAGATATGAGAAAACTGATGTCACAGAAATAGCATTGAAAAGCTGAAAAAAAAAGTTGAAAATAAAAACAAAAAACTCAAGTTTCAAATTGATATAATTAAAATAAATTTTTAATAAAACTATGGTTGGTAAGTTGGTATAAAACATTTTATAACATGTATATAACACCTAATTGCCGACCTAGAAGTGTTTAAGGTTGGCAAAAAATCGCCGACCTCATTTCTATGATTTATGGTAAAATATTGATATCTAATTTTTTTTGCTGACCTGATGCCAACTTTTATAAGATTAAGGTTGGCAAACTATTGCCGATGTAACTTTTTTCTAATTCAAAGAGTTTTCTCTCTCAATTTCTCTCTGTCTTTCTTTCTCTCTCATATATATATATATATATATATATATATATATATATATATATATATATATATATATATATATATATATATATATATATATATATATATATATATTTTATATATATATATATATATATATATATATATATATATATATATATATATATATATATATATATATATATATATATATATATATATATATATATATATATATATATATATATATATATATATATATATTAGGGTGAGTCATAAATTTTTTTTTCTTGCTACAGAAAAGGGAAACATTTACTTTTATGGATTGAACAATGTCTTCCACCCGCAACTATAATTACAAAAATAAGCAGGCCCTATTATTATTCAAAAAAAAAGTTTTTCCAAATTATGTAATGAGGTACTATATATATATATATATATATATATATATATATATATATATATATATATATATATATATATATATATATATATATATATATATATATATATATATATATATATATATATATATATATATATATATATATGTATATATATATATATATATATATATATATATATATATATATATATATATATATATATATATATATATATATATATATATATATATATACGTATAGTAAAGGCGTTAAATATACCGTTTGTGGTAAAAAACAGCTTGCAGCTTTTTTATGGTTTTAACTGACAAAATTAAGGTTAGATTATAACCAAAACGCAGTAATTTAATTGAGGAAACTAGTTAAATTTAATGGTTTTTAAAAAATCACAAAAACGCAAAATAAAGACTAGAATGTTTTTAAAAACATTCTGAATGTTTTTATTTTTTTACTGTAAAAATATATATATATATATATATTAACCAAATATGTATATTTATATATTAACCAAATCTGTTAAAAGCCTATTGGAAATTGTAATTTAAAGGGTTATGTTCTTCACAAAGAATATGCAGGATCAGCATTTTATGTCAACAGCAATCTATAAAATTTATTTTGAAAAGAAAAAATTAATTTGAGTCTTATGAATTTCTCACTTTGAACTATTTATTTAAAAGTCCTTAAAAGTTAGCAACTTTTTCAGTTAAAATTTACTTAAGAAAAACAAATTAATTCAAATTTTTTGAACTTGTTTTTTCTATCGCTCTCGGTTTGAGTTTTTTAGCTTTTTTTTCTTATTTTATTTTCTCATAGTTATACTTCCTTGGACTTTAAATATAAAAGATCTTAATTATGGATTTTATTATTTACTAAATTCAAATATTTAATATTTGTATATTTATACTATACAATTTTAAAATTATACTAAATAGTTATACTATATAATTATAACTTTATACTTTTTATACCATCAATAAATACTGTTAAATAATATCAATAAACAAAAAGTTAGATTAAAAGTAATTACTAAATTCAAATATTTATTTTAAATTATTAAATTATTTAATTTTATTATACTGTATAATTATAACTTTATACTATATATACCATTATTAAATACAGTTTAACAATATCAATAAACAAGAATTTATTAATTAATTTTAGATTAAAAATTAAATTCGAATTATTCATTTAAATATAGTGTATAATTCTATAAAAGCTATTTAGTATTTAATAAAAACAAACAATCTTGGCTTGATGAATGATGAATTGCTTTTTAATAAATTAAATAGATGTAATGATAAACTATTGACACTATATCGAAAATAATATTGTCTATACAAGTAATATACTGTATAAATGTTTAATAATAAATAATTCTTTGTACAGGAAACACAAGAAAACATACAAAGTTCAGACTCGAACAATGCAGTTGTTAACTTAAAAAGATTTGAAAAATCCAGACAGAAGATTTTTTTCTTAAAAATAACAACAAAATCCAAATCCTAATGTTATATCAACAACTTAAATATAAACAGATTTTAGAAAAATATTAAGGGAGTGGAGAAAATAATAAAAATGTGGACAATTGCTAGTTTAAAATCATTTAAGTCACTGTCTTTTTTTTTGTTTTTTTTTATTTGCATTCACTCCCAACAAGGCTGCAAGCAACCACTATTAAGTTGGGAGTTACTAGGAAAAAAAAGAACAGAGTTATAGAGCAAGGAAACGGTTGACAGAAGACTTGAAAAGTTGAAGGTTGTATGAGTCAGGAAAACATGAAGATGGGAGAGAGTTCCAAAGGATTGAAGTGCGGGGAAAAAAACTAGATGAATAAAAGTTTTTAGAGCATGCAGGGACAGATACAGTAAACGAATGAGACTTAGCTGAATGACGAGTAAAACAAGAATGATTTTTAGTTGATGGAACTAGAGATGATTACTCCTTTGAGCAGTGACCATGATAGTATCTGTAGAAAAGAAAAAGAGATGCAACTTTACGACGATGGGAAAGAGGTTCAAGCTTAGCAGATAGTCCAGGTCCAACAACATTTACAATGCGTTTTTGGAACTTGTCAAGAAGAGAAAATGAATCGTTAGAAGAACCAGCCCAAATATGACAACAGTATTCCATACAGGGATGAATAAGTGATTTGTAGAGGTAGAGAATGGAATCAGAAGTAAAGAAATGGCGAGCACGATAAAGAGAAGCAACCTTAGCAGAAGCTAATTTAGCAATCGATTGTATATATGGTTTCCATGAAAGGTCAGTAGTAAGCGATAATCCAAGAAGACGTAAAGAGGACGACTCAGTAAGAGGATTGCCATTCATTAATATAGGAATGTTGACCATATTACGGTAGTTGTTTGCAGTAAGCAATTGGGTTTTTTTAGAGTTGAAATTCACAAGCCACTGTGAGCCCCAATCTATTACTGAAGTGAGATCGGATTCAAGATCAGCTGCTTGTTCTAGGCGATCGAAAAGAGAAGACTTTTTGTCAAGACAGGAGTATAAAGTTGAGTCATCAGCAAAAAGAGCTACTTTAGATGAAAGGTTGTGAGGAAGATCGTTTATGTAGATAAGAAACAAAACAGGGCCCAGGATGGAACCTTGGGGAACCCCAGAATTTACTGGAAATAAAGAAGAGTGTTGGCCTTCAAGGATGACTTTAATAAACCGGTTAGAAAGAAATGATTTGATAATCTCAAAAACTTTCCCAGAAACACCATATGAAGCAAGCATATGGAGAAGACCAGCATGCCAAACTTTGTCGAAAGCTTTAGATATGTCTTTAGATATGTCTTTAGATATGTCTTGGGCAGAAATATTAATAAATGTCAAACTATATAGATTTAATTATTTTCACCGATTAAATTTTTATTGTGTAATAATTTAAATTTGGCTGACACAAAAAGAGCCCCATAAGGACAAAGCAAAGAACACAAGTGGTAATATGTTACTAACAATACAATTGTATATCAAGATTGATGGTTAGGAAATGGAATCATACAATCCAACAAAAGCTATTAAAAACTGGCTATTAAAACCGCCGTAAATAAATAAATCAGGCATTCCTAAAGACTTGGTTGCATAGACAAAAAAACTCCGATTGTCTTAGTTAAAAAGTCAAAACAAATCAAAACTGTTTTAAAAAGAGATAATAGCAAAGATGATAATGATGATAACAGTTTTTTAAATTTTTTCACTGCCCTAAAGTCATAAGTATTTTTGTAAACTTTTTTTTGTAAAGACTTCATTAAGTTAAAAAAACATTATTTGTAAAATAAGCACTTAAAGTCAATGAGAAAACTAAAGTCATTTATGCCTATTTCTAAAATTAGAAAAACAAATTTTATAAGTTGTTTACAATATTTATTTTGGTTTGCAAAAATATTTTAGCCTCGCTCACAAATGTCAAAAAAATGTTTAAAACACTTAAGTTCAAACTCCTCTAACTGCACTAAATAAGTATTTTTATTACTATTAGTCTTTGAATTCTTACATTAATAAACTAAAAATATTTTTTCTCATTATGATGGTATGATAGACGATATGATGGAAGGTATGGTGGAAGGTATAATGAAAGGTATAGTCAAAGGTATGATCAAAGGTATGATCGAAGGTATGATTGAAGGTCTATTGGTCTAGATATATCAAAGGTTTCAATAAAATCTGGCTTAATGATCTTCTTTAAAAACTCACTTCAAATGTTGTATTGTTAAAGTTAAGTGTGCTTGAATTTTTTATAGGCTCTCTTCATTTGGTGTATTTAAAAACGTTTTTAAAATTATTGAACAACTTTCCTATCACATTATTATTGTTTCATTTCGTAAGAAGTAGTACTAAATTGTTACAAAATTGATTTTTATTTTGAACAATACAGTTGAATGATAAAATTTTTTTTGAGCTGAACAATAAAAATTTGCATTTATCATAAGGATCATTTTATAAAAGAGAATTTTTCATTTTTCATCAATCATTTGTCTAGAGTTGAGTTGAACTTGTTCAAGTTTTAGGATTCTTCAACAATATTGGAATTTTTGTTCCATATTAATACATTCTGATTGAGAAGAAATGGTTTTGTGAGCTAATCAATGCGCTAAGCCATTTATTTTGTGAGGGGCGGAACACAGCATCCTGATTTTATGTTTGTGATCTCTAGTTAAAAAATATGGGCTAATTTAACATCTAATTTAACACTTGACTTAAACATGGGTTAATTTAACACATATATATATATATATATATATATATATATATATATATATATATATATATATATATATATATATATATATATATATATATATATATATATATTATATATATATATATATATATATATATATATATATATATATATATATATATATATATATATATATATATATATATATATATATATATATATATATATATATATATATATATATATATATATATATATATATATATATATATATATATATATATATATATATATATATGTTATATATATATATATATATATATAGTATATATATATATATATATATATATATATATATATATATATATATATATATATATATTATATATTTAATATATATAAGACAATATGTTTGATTTTTATTAAAATCCTTTAGTTTATAAAGTACATGTTTCAACTATATCATAGCCATCATCAGTTAAAACATTTTAAAATCCTTAAATCAAATTATAAAATTTAGCTGAACTAATAAAGACCTAATAATAAAAAATAAAATAAAAACGCTGTTAAAAAACGTAACTAATGTTTTAAAAACAATAAAAGAACCGATAATGTTAAAAGGAATTAGGTTGAAAGAGTCATTTCTACATGGTTCACTTATTTATTAACAGTGGATTTTTTTCAACTCAATATACATGCTTTCTTTAAGTTTAATACTAGCTTGTTAGAGACCGAATAAAAAATTGAAAAACTAGCATAATTAAAACTATTAAAGCAGCTTTAAATGAATGAATATGTTTATAAATGTGCATGTTTTTAACCCTTTTTCGGAGCTCGATTATTTGTGACTTTATATGACAAGTAGTTTCGCCAATATAACAGGATATACAGACTGCAGATTTAAATTTATAGACAACAAATGATTCAATTCACTCTTAAAAATTCACTAAAATTTTTTCTATAACCAATATTTTATCTACATAAAAATTGACACGACATTTTATGTCGTGTATTTATGTATATAAAAAATGTTAAATGTATTTATTTTTTTGCATTTTCTCTGTCAATTTAAATGTTATTTTCTTTTCTATATCTTGACATTTACTTTTGTTTTACTAATCTATGTAATGCGTAATATAGGCTTTAATATTGCATGTAGTTGTGTATGTATATATTTTTTTATTTAAATTTGCCTTTATTTTGCTTTTTTTTATATTTTCTGCAAAAATTGTTTTTTGTCACTCAATCTTTCTGAATTTATGTGATGAAATTTTTGTTTCCTCTTATATATTTTCTCACTCATCTTATCTCATCTGTTCATTCTCTCTTTTCTTTCATTTTTCTTAGCGTTACTCCTTTATATTTTTTTTTAATTCCAACTTTTTCAATACTATTGTTCCTTATACTTCTGTTTTTATTACTTGCATTAATGTAGTTTACTTTCTTTATTATTTTTTTTTTTTAATATTTTTTCATTTTATTTGTTTATTTTATCAAGGTGTCATAACATTGACTAGTTTTTAACTATATGAGTGACATTGAACCTAAATTTATAAATTATAATTAGATTTATCATTTTCGATTTTATGGTTAAATGAATGGATAAAAAGTTAACCATATTGTTTATTTAATATTAATCATTGTTATTTTTTTAAATAAATTAATTTAGGATTGTTTTTATTTATTAGGATTGCAATTCATATTACTTTTGTTTGTTTGTTTTATTTAGGTGTTACTCCAGTGAATAGTTTTTAACTATGAGTGAGACTTAAGTTAAATTAACTATGAGTGAGACTTAAGTTAAATTAACTATGAGTGAGACTTAAAACTTTGTAAAATTATAAGTTTTAAAAATTATTTGTAAAATATATATAAGTTTTAAGTTTTTCAATAAATTAGTTGTTTAATAAATGGATAAATTTGTTGTTGCTAGTTACAATTATTTTAATGGTTTTTATGATGGGTTTTAACTTTTATTTATTTATTAAAGCAACACTTCTGTGTTAAAATAATTGCAAAATAAACATTTTTATAATTACATAAAACCATAAACTTAATTTGCATGTATTTTTTTTTTTTTTTAAATGCAGAATGTGTTTTTTTTCAATTTTTTATACTGTTTTTATTTTTTTGTTTTGATTTATTTTATCTTTATTTTTTTCATATGTACATACCTTGACTAATTATGTAGAACATATAAAGATTACCTAATCGACTGTCAAATAGGTAAAACTTGTAAGGGGTGCTGCTACATTGGCTCAAGTTTTGGCTAAAGCAGGCAGTAAAAATTTTAAAAAATTTTAAAATTTTAAAATTTTAGCTTTTACAAATTTTTAAAAATATTTCTATTTAAAAAAAAAATCTATCATTGTTTTTTACTTATATATATATATATATATATATATATATATATATATATATATATATATATATATATATATATATATATATATATATATATATATATATATATATATATATATATATATATATATATATATATGTATATATATATATATATATATATATATATATATATATATATATATATATATATATATATATATATATATATATATATATATATATCAACAAAATATGGCAAGAACTCTTAATTTGAGTACATTTAAGGTCATAAACCATTTTTTTTTTATTCTGATTCACTCCCAAAAAAAGTTGCTGGCAACCACTTTTAAGTTGGGAGCAAGAACGGTTGACAGAATACTTTAAAAGTCGAAGGTTGTGTGGGTCAGTCAAAACATAAAGATGGGAGGGAGTTTCAAAGAGTTAAAATGCGGGAACAAAACTAGACGAACAAAAAAATTAAAAAGGATGCAAGTACAGATATAGTAAACGTATGAGACTTTGAAGAATGATGAGTTAAACGAGAATTCGTTTAAGTTGATGGATTTATAGATATTAGCTCCTTTGAGCAACGTCTATGATTGAAGATTTGTTGAAGATTTTTAAAAAGTCTCTTGAGCCTAATTTCTGAGATTTAATGAACTGAGAATAATGGAAATTAGCATCAGACAGCAACTTTTTCATTAATTTCTAAATAATAAATAGCTGTTTGTTTTCAAGAGAGTTGTTCTTCTGAAAAAGATTAAAAAAATGATTACGATAAGATATACTAGCGGTACAACAAAAGTAAAAACCATGGAGTAGATTGGAGCTTGACTTAAAAGCGAGACAAGAATTAATAGAAGTTTCCATTCCTGCCTAAATCCAGGACGTTACGTGGGAGGCACATTCATAAGCTAAGAGAGAAAAAGTTTCCATACCTGCTTGGATCCAAGAGTATATTTTAAAGACACAATTAACAGCAGAGAGAAAAATGGCATCAACCCAATGAACGTCATAAAAAAATTCACGAAAAGATTCTCAGTCAGTTTTAGGGTAGTAGTAACTAGTGCAATGATAAGGTGTGTCCAAAAAAAATGAGATGAATGATTTAAAGAGATCATTGCATGGTCAGAACCACCTAAGGGAGAAAACTTAAAACACTGAACACAATCTAGGATTGAAGACAAGACATAAATCAAGGAGTAAACTTTAATAGTTAGGGTTGTCAGGAAAACGTGTTACAAAGTTAACTATCTGAGTAAGAGATTGAGAAATGCTGAAGTTGAAAACTTTAATGCTGGCAGAGTCAGTGGCGATAGAGCCAAGCCATTTAGTATGATGAACATGAAAGTCACTAAAACAACAATATTATCAGATGGGTAAAGAGAGAAAGAGTGTGGTCATTTTGATCGGAAATTGCGTCTAAAAGTGTGGAGTCTTGGGAAGAAGAAGAACGATAAAGAACAAAGAGAAAGGTGATAGAGTGAAGAGGTGTTAAGTGGAAGCTCATAAAAAGTTGTAAAGAATTTGTATATGTATACCCACAAGCCAGATAGAGTTGGCTTGGGGTATACATATATATCAAATTGTGTATCAAAAGATAGTCCTATGAACACTAAAAAAGATTTAAAGAAGAAATAGATTTGAAAAAGGAAAAGATTTGAAGAAGGAAACAATCTGAAGAAGAAATTGTGAAATTAAAATTAGTCTTACTATGAGCAACTAAGTCTGGTGAATTTTACAAAAGGTTAGATTCAACTGATGGAAGGTTGCTTTACAGACCACGAATCTTTATAGTAGATATATTGAAAAAGTTAGGTGGTGGGGATGGTTTTTAAGTTTAATATCATGTTAGAGCACAGCTTCCTCAGCAATAAGCAATGCAATTGTCGCAGTCGTGTTAAATAAAGTTACAAAACTGGACTTCTTATTCAGCCTTAATTATAAACACCAAAAACATTAACAGGGACACCATTCGTACGCAACACATCACATATTACTCAACTAATACCCCAAGGCAAGAGAGTTTTGGAGTTTGTTTCTCCTAGCCTTTGCCTAAACTAGCACAACCCGATAAAGACAAAAGACAAACCCGATTGTGATGATCCTGAAGCTAACCTTACTTGGAATATTTAAAAAGACCTAATTCTTGTAAAGAGTAGCTTAAAGTCAATGAACTAAATTAAAATAAACTATATTTCGTAAGCAAGTTGCATAACTAAAAATTCTTTTTTAGTAACTTTTGTTGTTTAAAGATGCTATCATTATTTCACTATATTTAGTTCTATTAAAAAAAATTTAATTTTGTTTTAAGAGTATGAAATCTTTGAAACTACTATTACAATAATTATTAACAAAACAAAATTTGTAATTACTTACACAAATTATGAACAAAACAAAACAAATCTTTATTGGTAATGGTGTTGATCCATCACTGTAGAAAACCTTTTTGATTATATGAGTGATTTTCATGGTTGACTTGAATCTAAAAAAAAAAAAAACTGCAACATAGTTATAGATGTAATAACTTATTTATTAGAATGAATTACTCGTTGATGGGATAAATTATATTGGATGTCAAACGTAGGATTTTTAATAGTAGATCAAAAACTTGATCAATAATATTAATGATAATTAAGTAATAACTGGATCTGTATTCTTGAGAGACCCAATAAAAAATTAAACAATTATAGAAGTTAGATTTAAACAACTGTTTTTTTTGTTAAATCATGTCAGTTTGTTTTTAAAACAACTTGTTATGGCTTCAATATCTTTTTTTTAAATAATATATAGGCTGTGAGAAAATGATGCGAAAATAATCTGTAAAAAGTTTTTGAACAAATAATATTGATTTTAGAACTAATAACATTAATCTACGAATTTTTAACTTTTTAATGTATTTTTTATTCATTAAAAAGTTAAAAATTTGTATTGAACAGAAAATAATTTATGCATCATGCAATTACAGCGACCTTGTTCATGTTTCAGAGTTATAGGGTTGAGAGAGGGTTAAAACCGCTACTAAAGTAGCCTCCTCAACAGTAGTGGCCTATTTGCCTATTTGGAGGTGAGTTAACATTAAAAAAAATTGTTGCATACCAATAGAAAAAATGAAATAAAAGAACAACATTAAAAAGTCACAGCTGCAAATATTAACTACAAGATGAAATATACAAGCAATGCCAATCTTGTTTAGTAAGTGTTTTTGAACTTTTTTGTAGTAACAACAGGCAAACGTTTTTTTGTTGTGTTTCTTTTTAGAAACATAGTAAGTTTAGATTAATTTTTGAATGGCATTTACGTATGGTTAGTAAATTTTGTACTGACTATATTGATATTGAAAACTCAGTTATTTTTCTCACATTAAATTATTGTCGAATTATTGCTTAGACAGTTTGCAAACCTATTTAGAATTTTTTCTCGCATTTTTTAACCACCTACCAAATTTCATAGAAAATTATTAATGAGCATCCTATAAAATCAAGTTTTAGTACCTGATTTTTGTTTTTCTGATTTCCAGTGTGGTTATTTTATTAGGTTAATTTAGTAATAATATATATATACATTATCGGACAAAACAAGTGCAACCAAATAATGCTAATTTAGTTTCTTTATATAAAAGTCTTTTTTCAGTTTAGAGAAATAACTATGTAACTGTTTAAAGACAACGTTCTTCAAGTTTTATTCATCACAAAGTTCATTATTTGTACACGAAAATAAATAAATTATTTGAAAGTATTAAAATAAGTTAATTTTTTTCTGGACAAAACAAGTGCAACTCCACAAAATATTGACCAAGCTGTATTTCGCTATCAGTATTTCGTGGCGAACCCTTTGTTGTCGATCACATCCATGCACCTTTGAGGCATAGATTCGATCAGATGATCAATGAAACTTTGTGGAATCGCTGCCCAGGCCTTTTGGATTTGTTTCAACAGTTGATCTTTATTACAAACACCTTCACAATTGATTCTGCGCTTGACGATCTCCGATAGGTTCTCGATAGGGTTGAGATCCGGAGATTGAGGCGGCCAACCCATCACCGATAGGTGGCTGTCTTGAAATCACTGCTTGACTACTTTTGCAGTGTGTTTCGGATCGTTGTCTTGCTGAAAAACCTATATGATTAGCATATTCTATTCAGCATGAGATAACATAACATCGTTCAGGATATTTTTTATATATGAAACGGTCTATTATTCCATTGCTTCAATGTATTGGACTTAGAACGTTAGCAGAAAAACACCCCCAGACCATTACATTGCCTCCATCATGCTTCACGGACTTATGACAGTAACGTAAATCAAGGGGTTTTCCGTCCGGTTGACGTACATGGCAAATGCCATCGCTCCCAATGATGTTAAACTTCGATTCATCACTGAACGGGATAGTTCGCCATTTCTGCACATTCCAGTCAATATGAGATGTAGCAAACAGGAGCTTTTTCTTCTGGTTCTTTAGTGAAATCAGTGGTTTCTTTGCAGGGAGTCGACAAAACAATCCGGTTTCAAAAGCATGTCGTCTGATTGTTCGGTCCGATACAGGCAGCTCTAAATACTTTTTTTATCTTGACTGATGATATCTAGGGATCTTTCTTGACGGATCTGACGATCATAGAATTCTCTCTAGAAGTGGTGGAACGCGGTCTTCCACCTTCGCTATCTGCTTCCAACTTCCCCGTAGAACGATATTTGGAACATAGTCTCGAGACTGTCCATTTTTTCACGCGATATTTATCACAAATACTTTTTTGTGACATTCCACTGACGTAATCGCCAACAATTTTCTTTTTCAGTTCCAATCCAAGACTGTCGGGAGCCATTTTTGCACTTGAAGTCATAAAAATAATAAAAATAAATAATCACCCTTCTCAAGGCTTACCGTGTTACATTTACCTTGTGATGATACAATAATGCTCTGTGGAAAACAACGTCTTGATTGGATGTGGTTTATTGTGATGTAATGAAACACTTGTTGTATTTCACTTCTTGTATTGATGTTTTTTGATAAAACACTTTGATAAAACTCTCTTCGATAAACTTTCTTGATAATACTGACTGATTGACTTCCATATACTGACTGAATTACATGTCGGTTTACATGTCTCTTATATAGTAAAAGGAACCTGTGTGAACCTGTTCTGGAAGATTCTAGATATTTCTTTTCGATGCTTCTGGAAGCTTCTGGATGCGTCTGAGTGCTTCTGAATGTTTTTGGATACCTCTGGATGCTTTTGGATGCTTCTGGATGCTTCCAGATGCTGCTTTTTGAAATTTCTAGATACTTCCTTTAATTATTAAAAAACTTCCATGACGTTGACACGGACCAGACTTAAGAAAAAGAAACAAACCAAAAAAGTTGCACTTGTTTTGTCCGTTGCAAAATGGTACTTGTCAACAAAATTCTGCCTGTGTGCTGTCACCTATCAGCTGATTGCTCATGCCATGGCATGCTATGACGTTTCGTTTTTAAGACATGCAAAATTAGGAACACTTTTTAGCATTTTTAGATGTTGGTTGCAAATGTTTTGTCCAATACTGTATATTGCATATGTATCAGGGCTTAAATTAAACATATCTTGCTCACAAATGGTTGTTACTTTTTGCACTTTTATCTTTATCAATCTCTGTGTGGAAACCAATAAATTACTACTGTTTTAAAGTAAATGTAGTTTGATTTTCTTTATCGATAAAGCAAATCAAAGTAAACTTATTTTTAAACTAAATCAAAATAAGCAGTCAAGTTACTCCAGGTGAGTTACTATTAAGTATACCTAGTATGTTCAAAAACATTTACTTGTAAAAGTTAGTTCAAAGCACTTGCAAAATGATTGCAAAAAAATTGCGAAAGTTTAGTCATAGAAATATCGCTAAATTTTTTAAAAAATAATTTATCAAATAGAATATGAGAAGCTCTAATCAATTTTTTATTTATACTTTTATTTTATATATTCCAATACCAAGGTTAAACATTTTCTATAAATACGAAAGTTGTTTTTAGGAAATAATTTTGAAAAGAAGTCACAAATATATATATATAATATAAAAAATATATATTTATATATATATATATATATAAATATATATTTTTTATAAATATATATATAAATGTAAAATATGTATATATATATATATATATATATATATATATATATATATATATATATATATATATATATATATATATATATATATATATATATATATATATATATATATATATATATATATATATACATACATATATATATATATATATATATATATATATATATATATATATATATATATATATATATATATATATATATATATATATATATACATATATATATATAAACGTATATATATATATATATATATATATATATATATATATATATATATATATATATATATATATATATATATATATATATATATATATATATATATATATATATATATATATATACGTATATATGTATATATATATATATATATATATATATATATATATATATATATATATATATATATGTATATATATATGTATATATATATATATATATGTATATGCATATATATATATATATATATATATATATACATATATATATATATATATATATATATATATATATATATATATATATATATGTATATATATATATATATATATATATATATATATATATATATATATATATATACATATATATTATTATTATCATTATTATTGTTACTACTTTTGTTATTATAATTTCTATTGTTATTACTATTATTAGTATTATAATTAATTAAGGTTATGATTTTTTAAATAGAATAACTAAGCATTATTAATAAGCCTATCAATCTTTTGTCTTTCGTATGCTTGTGCCAGCTTAATTGTTTCTACTTGGGTCAGTTTAATTGTTTATATGTAGTTATAAATTCAATGTTACCATTTAGCATCTAAATATATTTTAAACACTTTGACAAATGTTAAACACACTACGTCAGATCGCAGACTAGTCCACAAATTTGATACTCAAATACTTAAAAAAGAGTTCTGTACTTCTACCTTACAAAAAAATCTTTTATAATTTATAAGCGTAACCGCAAAGATTGATGGAGCAATACTGAATGGTATTTAATGAGAGAACAAAAAAAGTTTAAACTAAATTAAAAATAACAAAGATTGTGAGTTGATTTAAAAGTTTTTACCACGTCATTGCATAAGAATTGATAGCTCACACTAGTTAAATTTAGATTCAGTAATCTTTGGTAATAAGTGACTCCAGTCAGGCCAAGAATAGTTTTACTAAACTTTACTAGAGTTTTAGTAGAATTTTCGTTTAATCGTTGATCTCTATTTCGTTTAATCGTTGATATATATATATATATATACTATACTATATATATATATATATATATATACTATATATATATATATATATATATATATACTATACTACTATAGTATATATATATATATATATATATATATATATATATATATATATAT